TGTAGTAAACACCAAGGAATCTGAGCTTCTCAGCGATATGGATCTCGAAAGTTGGTACAAATCCTTTCTACCTAACAACACTCTAGACTCGGGAGCACCTCGTTTGGTGTACTCGTATCGACACGCAATCAGCGGTTTTGCTGCGAGGCTAACTCCTACAGAAGTGAAGGCTATGGAAGGTAAGGAAGGCTTTTTATATGCCCACCCTGACAAGCTCTATCACCTTGAAACCACTTATACCCCTGAGTTCTTGGGGTTGAGCCAGCCATTCGGAGGAGCATGGGATGGCACCATGTATGGCGAAGGCATCATAATCGGAATTATCGACACTGGAATTTTTCCAAACCATCCTTCTTTTAGCGACAATCTAATGCCTCCTCCACCTACTAAATGGAAGGGTAAGTGTTATTACCTTAGTTGCAATAATAAGATCATCGGTGCAAGAGCATTCCGAAATGGAACCAGTCCTTCCCCATTAGACACTGCAGGGCATGGGACCCACGTGGCAGGCACGGCTGCAGGCAATTTCGTGGACGACGCCAACGTTCTTGGGACGGCCAAGGGTAAGGCTGCTGGAATGGCACCTAAAGCTCACCTAGCTATCTACAAAGTGTGCTTCGAGGATTGCTGTCGGGGGCGTGATATACTTAAAGCCATAGATCAGGCTATCACGGATGGAGTTGATATAATCTCCATGTCACTTAGTGGTGCACATAATGCGACATTCTATTTTGATCCAATCACACAAGGTTCACTAGCAGCATTCAAGAAGGGAATCTCCAATTGTGCATTTGCAGGCAATAAAGGCCCGTCGCTAATATGTATTGGTGACGGATTTATTGGTGACGGAACATTAGCGACGGACTACCCGTCACCAATAAACATTGGCGACGGGGTGATCCGTCGCCAATGTTCAAACATTGGCGACGAGCTACCCCGTCGCCAATGTTTATTGGCGACGGGGTAGTCCGTCGCCAATGTTTGAACATTGGCGACGGATCACCCCGTCACTAATGTTTATTGGCGACAGGGAAATCCGTCGCCAATGTTTAAACATTGGCGACGGACTACCCCGTCGCCAATAAACATTGGCGACGGGGTTGCTCGTCGCCAATGTTTGAACATTAGCGACGGATCACCCCGTCGCCAATGTTTATTGGTGACGGGTAGTCCGTCGCTAATGTTTTAACATTGGTGACGGATTACCCCGTGGCCAATGTTTATTGTCGACGGATTTTCCCGTCGCTAATGTATATATTTACGCAAAAAAAATTTAATTTTTCGGTAGCCTCCCATACGAGAGAATACACATATAACCTGTATCGACATCAATCCAATGACAATATTTAACAATATATCATAAAACCAACCATGATATACATTCACATTCCACACTCATTCAATTTCATCCGTCAATCCACAATATCGAATAATACTCGTCATATAATCACAATCACAATACATCTCGCATGCTCAAATAATATTCATTCACTACGATCGTCGGCATCCCTGTTATCAGCATCGTCTGCATTAGAACATCGTATCGTACTGCTGCTCCCTACAATATCTCCTCCAACCTGAAAAGAATATCACTCCACATAAGATATATATATACCAAAAATATAATAATAAATACTTATATATCGCGTCATATATACCTCTCCACCACCATTAACTTCATGCTCGGCAAACGCCAACTTAAAGATCTCTAAGTATATCGACTCAGGAAGAATCTCCTTCAACGATGGACAATCACTGAGGCGCTGCACAACATCCCAAGTCGATTGTGCACCCCCTAGCTCGCGCGTAATAATGGGAATAAATTGAAAAAACATCGAGGGTTGAACAGTGTCCATTAAATACTGTCCAATTTTAGCCACGACGTACGATGTCACACTTTGTCGATTTGAGGTCGCGGACGAGTCATTTTGTATATTCCTGCTAGTGGAGACTATCCTAACTTTTGCACTTGATAAAGGCACCCTCCCTTTCTTGATTGGTTTAGAGCCATAAACTCCATCAACAATTTCCCTCCATTGCTCTCTAGTCATGCGATTAGGATCGGTAGGAGTGTTCTCTATGCTCTGAGACTGGGACAAGACAAAGTCTTGTGAAGCTTCAAGCGCCTCCTAAATAACATTAGCAAATAGAAATAAATAAATTAGGGCAGTCTTAAGCAATGAAACTCAACCAATAGAAATAAATAAATTAAGACAATGTTATGAATTAAGTGCAAAGCTATATGATCACTTTCTTATTTCATTTATAGTCGACCTTTTTCAGCTATGATTCTGAAAGAAAAAGATATGTCACTGGACATGCATTTTTTACCTTCTTCGTCAAAAATACTGGTATAATATGAGCCGTGCAGCCTAGGCTTTAAGCTCATGACTGTTACAAATACATCACAGCTAAGCTTGAAGTTCATGACTCTGTTACAAATACCCGGAAGATAACAGCCAATTAAGCCCCAAAAATCTCAAACACACACACATTTTAGTTAAGCAAAAGTTCTAAATGTTAGTAGTATCAAGACAAAGGACCACAGATTTTGATCATCTCTGTAAGTTCAGATCAGAAGTATTGTAGTGAGCCTAACTAGTCTAGAAAAAATAAGGTGAACTGCATGTCCCTGTTCTTAGTCGGGGATGAAACATGGTTATCAAGTGCCTGGGGTCATAAAGTGTGACACAATAACTTTTAAACATGAAGGGATGACGACATTCCAGTAGTAAATTTATATGCATATTTATGTGCATTTGCCTATGTGGTTCCATTAGCATGAGAACTTGTATGAAACCGCATGTGTAAGAAGGAAATAGATGGATGCATGCAGAAAGCATGCATTCTTGCATTCAGCATATGATATGGTTAGAAATGTTATCACAATTTTTAGCAAAGTGTGAAAAGTGAATGTGAAAGTTCCAGTATATACCAAGTAAAGAAACACGATGAATAAGCATGCACACATATCCTTATTTAAGGCCTTACACAGGCAATATCTGCATTTGGAAAATATATGTAAACTTGATGATGAAGCTATCACTTAATTTAGCAAAAACATCAATTGTTCCACACTTCCATGAATGTTTTAGAAAGCACATGAATGAATAATTAAGCAGATATGAATGCATTACACTATAAATGGTATTCGAACATTAATGAATTCTAATTAGAAATACATGTGTGCAAATATGAAATTAAGTTTATACTTACATGCATATCCTTAATTTTTGTCATCTTTTCCACCTTATCATAGCCCTCGGGTGGTGTATATGCACTTCTAGCAAGAAGAGTTGGCGGCATAGTCAAGGCGTCCTATGATTAATCAAATTTCAAGTTATTTCTAATAACGTATGAAAATAGTAACATGAGTTGAGTTTTAATATTTTGATCTAACCGGATTTTCACGCAAATATTTATGCTCGATCCGAGCGTAGGGAGTAGCTCCTAGAAAGTGATCATATAGCTTTGCACCGCGATTAGCCAATGCTATCGAACATTTATCCTTCAAAATAAAGTAATTTTTCAGTATATGTGGTGGTAATATAATTAATTAAAAAATAACTCACCTTCTTCTCGCCCTCCCACTCGATAATGAGAGTCATCCAATTATAAGGAGGAACCCTCTTATCAAGCTGATGAATCCGCTTCCAATCAATGGTTATATCTGTAAAGTATTGACTCTTAAGTCTACTCCTCCACCCCCGAAGCATCTTGCTCGCTCTACTCATTACGTAATCCCAAGAGTCCGGGTTGTCCTCAAGGCAATAGTGATTCTACAAATTAGGTGTTACAAAAACATGCAATATTAAAAAATTAAATAAATATTTATTGAAAAAACAATATAACGAATAATTACCATGAGCCTCTCCCATATCTTCTTTATTCCATTCCATTGTTGTTCATCAAAGTTATGAGCGATGTTAATGTGGTGTGGGTCTCTGATTAAACAACCGATCAAATTATTAAATCTGACCGCGTAATCTCCAACTGGAATGTTGCCCATCCACCCCAAAATGGCTCGATAACCTTTAGGAGGTACCTTCGTAAACAGATCACTGCCGTGTCTACCGGCCTTCTCGTAGTCCTTGTTCCCTACAAAGACAGAGAGATATTTTTTTAAAAACTTCAATAATTAAATAACGAAGATTGATCAATATTTTACATGATATTCTTACCCATTTCCCTCAACTTATCTGACATCGCCTTTTCTAGTCTCTGCTTTATTATACTATCCTTGTTTTTAATGTCTTCTCTCCTTTTTTTATAGTTCCTATCGCATTTCTTTTGCAATGTGATAGCCTTTTCTGGTAAGGGGATGGAATTTACTGCTTCAGTCCATGGACGGAGACATTCAACCTCCGACTGAGAAGATCTCGCAAAAGACTCGTGTTGGATCTCGTCATCACTGGATCCATCATGATGATTGTCTGCAATATAAAATGTGAAATAAATATTTATAGGAACATAAAATATCCATGGACATTAAAATTAATACCTAGACCAGGCGATGAATCCCAATGATGACGTTGACTCATAGGTGGACTCATAGGAGATGCATGTGTATCTGTCCCCGCAATATCTACGAAAGTAATAAAAATAATATAGGTAAATAAGTTTCTCAATTAATTTAGTGAAATTAAATAAATTAATGCCTTCAACGGGTGAGGATCCATGTAGAGATAATGGACTACTATAAGGTCGTGAGGACATTCCTACACGTAAAAAATATAATTATAAATGCGAAATATGCATATTTATATCACAAACACAATTTATTTGAACAAATTAATATTTATACCTGATGATGAATTTGCTTGATTGTGGGAAACTTCCCCTATGCGCTTTATCCTTCGGCTCATCTGCATCTTAAATGATTATTCAATTTATTGAAGCAAAATAAGTGAATGTTGAAAATTGCATTGACAAAATAAAAAATATATATTAAAACGACAAAGTTAATACTTTAAATTTTAAAAGTACTAATATTTCGACATTCAATCTCCTACATTACGAATATCAAGCCGATTTTGCGGAGTATACATACTAAAATTGACATTTTGCGGGTATGAGTAATTAGAAAAAACTTCTCCTTCAGTCTCATTTGGATCATCAGAACCCTCTATGTTTTCATCGAGAGAAAGTTCAACAAGAGTTCTCGGCTCCTTATACAATGCGACCCAAACCTTCGGCTGTCTAGGATCTTTGACATAAAAGCACTGAGTAGCCTGCTTTGCAAACATGAACTTCAAATCGGAGTAAATCTCCTTGTCTAGATTTACAAGATTAAAGCCATATGCATCTCTTGTTATTTCAGCATGACACCATCGAACCTTAAACATCACATAACTACGTACGTCTTTTGTACCATACGCATAGAACATCTCCAAGATATCTTCTAGTTGTCCATAATAAATTAGATCATTAAGTATTGGATTCTGATCTGTCGAGCTTGCATAACATTCTTGAGAGAAGATAGCCATGACCCCACTGTTTTGAGTAACTCTCTCCTCCTCAATCCCCAACTTTTGAAATAAAAACCCATTCACACGATATCCGCTGCATTGTTTAACTGTGTAGTGTGGCCCGTGTGCATGAATTCTTATCTCTTCTGATATTGGTAAACCAGCCAATATTTGTCTTTCTACCTAATGTTAAACAAAATAAACAAACGATCGTTAAGAAGTTACTCTAAATTTTTCTCAAAGTTAATTAAAATTAAAATTCACAAAACTTACTTCAGCTGAAACCCATTCAGAAAAAAAAATTTCATGTATTTTGGCAATTTGATTCCGTGCTGACGGCCCAGTTATTTCTAACTGCAACTCCTCCAAATGTTGACTATTGATACAATATAAGAGATTAATAATTATATAAATAAAAAAATTATCACTTTTATTAAAGTTAATATACTTACTTTCGATAATTTTCAAAGATCTCCAGATTGTGCAAGACGAATGCATGAGCTTGTTCCAAGTCTATTCTGGAGTAATCCTTGTTCATCTTGGTACTGCCATGAAAAGTGGCATCTCTTTTACTAATTTGTGTATTATTATTTGCATCTCCACCTCGCATATATCGAGAGGCAAAAGACATGCATTCATTTGCAACGTAATGGTCAGCAATCGAACCCTCCGGATGAGCTCGATTGCGCATTATGCGCTTCAAGAAACCCAAATATCTAAAAAAACAAAAATAACTTTAGTTATTAAGATAAAATAATTACATGTTAGGTAAAGTGACTTTATTGAATTTTAACTAACCTCTCCATGGGATACATCCAACGATAGTTAACTGGACCTCCGAGTAATGCCTCATCTACAAGATGATGTGTAAGATGGACCATAATAGTAAAAAATGAGGGAGGGAAGAATAACTCCATTTTGCAAAGGGTTTCATTCATTTCTCCTTTTAGTGTCTTAAATTCTGTAACATTGATAACTTTTGAGCATAACTTTCTAAAAAATCCACAGAATTCAATTATAACCTTTGCTACTTCATCATCAGCCATATTGTTACGGAGTGCCACGGGAAGCAATTGGTGAAGAAGGATGTGATAATCATGAGTCTTAAGTCCCAAAATTTTTCGCTCTTTCACCTGGACATTATTTGAAATATTAGAACAGTAACCATCTGGCGACTTTACCGATTTGAGCACCTCACAGAATCTTTGCATCTCAACCTTTGTCATCGTAATGCGAGATGAGGGCAACTCAAATTTGCCTTCAGTAACTTCTCGTGCTTGCAGATCATGTCGGATGTTCAATGCATTCAAGTCTCGCCGAGCTCGTAAATCGTCCTTTGATTTCTTACCATCCTGTAAGAGTGTGGACAACAGGTTATCACATATATTTTTTTCAATATGCATTACATCTAGGTTATGCCGAATTTTTAGCTTTTGCCAGTACGGTAGCTGAAAAAATATACTAAATTTTGTCCATCCTTTTGGTAATTCCTCATCACGTGTCTCATCCGTAATGCACACTTTTCTCTTTCGTTTCGGTGCCTTCTTCATAATGGAAATGCGTCTTGGAGCTAGAATATCTTCTCTTGTATATCGGCTCTTTCCAAACTTATTTTTAGGATATCCCTCAAATAATTCTACAATTTCATCTCCAGTCATTACATGCGGCTCTCCTCTTTTCCCTTCTTGGCCATCAAACTTATTCGCCCACCTTTTCCCTCTGTATTTATGTCCTTTACGTAGCCATCTTCTGTTAAACCAATAACACATCTTTCTACTATGTTGTAAATGAAAGCCTTCAAAGTTTGGACCACATACGGGACAAGCAAATGTTCCTTTTGTAGACCAACCGGAGAGATTAGCATAAGCTGGAAAATCATTAATGGTCCACATAAGAATAGCACGAAGATTAAACGTTTGACGGGAAAATGCATCATACGTTTGGACCCCTTCATCCCAGAGAAGTTTTAACTCATCAATTAACGACTCCATGAACACATCTATGTCATTTCCGGGTGAGTGTTTGCCTGGTATCAGCAATGAAAGGATCATATACGGTTGCTTCATACAAAGTCCAGGTGGTAAATTATAAGGTATTAACACAATTGGCCAAGTAGACCAACCTGAACTCATAATGCCAAACGGGTTGAATCCGTCACTAGATAGACCGAGTCTAACATTCCTGCACTCTGTGGAAAACCAAGGAAAAGATTGATCAACATGCTCCCATGCATCTGCATCTGCCGGATGCCTGAGTTTACCATCAACTACGCGTCCTTCCTTATGCCACCGCATGTTTTTAGCTGTGTCTTTTGTCATATACAACCTCTGTAAACGCGGTACTAAGGGAAAATGTCAGAGCACCTTCGCTGGAATTTTCTTTGTCTACTTAACAGGCTCATCTGCCTTTCGTGTTGAAGTGCGTGTATTCTTCCTCCAACGAGACACTCCACACTTTGGACATTCTTCAAGCTTCTCATTATCCTTATAATACAGGATACAATCATTAGGACACGCATGGATTTTTGTGTAATCTAAACCGAGAGCGCCAACGATCTTATTTGCATCATAACATTTTTCTGGTATGCTATTCTCTCCATCCGGAATTACCTTGCGTAGTAAATTAAGAAGCATTTGAAAATATTTATCTGCCATTCCACTGAGGGTCTTAATACGCATCAGTTGAAGAATAAACGACAATATACTATACTCTGAGCAACCGGCATACAAATCCTTATCGTCATCGTCTAATAACTTCATTAAACTTTTAAAGCTATCGGTATCACGCACATCATCAACATTTTCGACACCTTCT